TGTTCGACGTCGCTGCCTTTGTCTCCCACCCAATGCGTCGTCCACCAGACTTTGAATCTAAAGATGCTCATGAACTTAATACCTCTGAGTTTGCCTAGGGAGACGACGTGCCTACTCTTCGATTCTTCGGCATCAAAACCCACGTAACAACCGACCGTGTTTGTTGCCTTGTCTGTAGATGGAGTGGCTACAATATCCAAAGGGACATCGGTGAGGATGGGGTGCCCGTTGGCAGTGAAATTCGAACCATCGAGAGTAACCGACGATGGCCGGCCATCGTCGGTGACCCCAATAAGGTCTGTGGATCCTTTGAGCAAACTAGGGGCCATGGGATGGGGAGATCCAAGTTAGTATAACACGCGCACAAAAGAATGAAGAGATGAAATAGGTGTATATAGACAGAAAACACAAAACAGAGAGCCGAGTTCGATCAAGATCAACGCATGCAAGGAAAGGCCCAGGAATACCGCCTTAAATAGACAACAAAAAGGGGGGAACTGGAAATAGAAAAATACCCAATAAGGTAATAATCTTCACAAGATTTGTTTGTGGATTGCCTATCCTATCCTACACTGGACAGTTGCAAATTGACTTCCTGGACAGCTTCCTTGAAACTTGAAAGCAGGAAAGGTTTATTTCTAAGCTACGGGCTACGGCCGAAGTTTCTCGGCAAACGGGTCAATAACATCTATGCCTCTCTATATTGAATTCTCGTGGGTCCGGGCTTGGCTTTGATGCCTGTGACTTCCAGTAGTTTCAGGCTTGAGCTTCCGATGGACCGACCCCCCTGAGAAAAAAAGGGCAAAAGTATATTAGTGAACTGAACGAAGTGATCGAAGAAAACACTCAGACAGGAATGAAGAATGACGTGGAGTCTTTGTAGGCGGTGGTCCGTACTTAAACTTAATCCTGGTTTTACAAAAATAAAACCGGATATTAATTGCGAACCACCCCATGTCTCCATCCTTAGGACTTATAGCTAGGAAGACAACGAGAAATTCTTTTAATTCTTTCGTTTTTGAATTTCGATTGATAGATACTTTTATTCTTTCGTGGGTAATGGAATGTGTGCTTTTCTGGGTCCCGCAAGATGTTCCAATCCGACCATCATCAGCATTCAGAAGCGGAAACTTTCTTTTGCTTTCTAATTGATTCCAAATTAAATTTCCGATGTTATAAAAATGACAGGGACTAAACGTTCAAAAGACAGACAGAAAGAGAGAAGACTCCCTCCGGCACTGTCCTCTCGGTAAACCAAGACATTTGGTAGATGAGTGACAGAAACAATAATCCAACGTTGTTGAGCGGCAGATGTGACCATGAGACTCACAAGTCACAACATGGTCTCTCTCACTGAGTCACTGGTACCATTTTTCTTTAATCAGAAAGAAGATCAGAGATTTTATCAATTCAGGGCCTTCAGATAAATTCAACCTAAAAACCCCTTTATCTTCCTTTTAACAAGGCTTTGGCTTCCACATTTCGTGACTGAAACAAAAATGGAGCCTATCTTAATCCTTATCTTCTGTAACAATTTTATACCCCAATTCATCATTAATTGTTTTATTGATAATCGAAATACAATAAAAAATAAAAATTCAATAAAAAAACGAAATGATTTTTCTACTTGGTGTCAGCTCAACAATTGAACCTTCTACAGAAAATGTGTTAAATCTTGATATTATAATTAAACAAGAAAAATATAAAAACATAAAAATTACAAAAACTAAGAATTATTTTTAATAAGTGTAGCAAATTATTCATATTGAAAAAATTAATAATAAGTGTAACAAGTATTATTGATGATGGAAATGAAATATAAAATCCAAAACCAATCCAAAAATTCAAATTGTTTTTCTAATTATTGGTGGATCAACATTTTAACATTTTGGGTCAAATGTATTAACCCTTGTAGTTAATATTAAATAGTATAAATTAAAAAATAGAAAAATAGAAGAATTACAAAAAATTTATACAAAACATCTGGAAACATATTATTACTATCATCTTCATCAATATCATCATCTAAAGTTACATGTACACATTCATTAGTGTCCCTCAAAAGAGCCAATATAATAGTGAAAAATGTAAAAAAAAAAAAATAGTCAAGCATCATACCATTTGTAAACAGGTTGCCTTTAATGATGGATACACATGTGAGTGTAGAGTCCCACATTAGAAGTAGATAATACTAGGGAACGGTCCACAAGCTAATGGCTTGTGCAGAAGGAATCTAAACACAACAATGATATATCAAAGCTGAAAAAAAAGAAAACAGAGAAAAAAAAAAAAAGCAATGATATCAAAGCCGAAAGTTTGTGTAGGCATGAGTATTATAGATGCATGCAATAATTCCTACGTCTTTTAGTTTTCCTGTAGTTAAATAATTAATAAGAGTAGTTGATCTCCCATGATAATTAGCACCCATCAAACTTGATGATATAATAGTGATTTCCGTCTGAGGGAATACAAAATACCTAATTTGGAAGAAGACTCACATGTGAGAAGTTGATTTTGGGATTCATGTGCGAGTGTAAAATCTTACATTACCGAATACCTTTACTGAGATTTCTGGTGGGGAAAAAAGGAGAGGGGGAAGGGACACTATCTCAAATCATGGGATATCATCCTTAAGCCTAAAGAATTGGGAGGCTTAGGCTTGGTTGATGTGTTACAGAGAAATAAAGCTCTTATATCAAAATTGTGCTGGCGCTTTTGTCAAAAACCCAAATTCCTTATGGGCTTAGATCCTCCGTGCGAAGTAGTTATAACATGGATCCTTTTGGAGCTCTACCAAGAAGAGTGCTAACTCTCCAATCTGGTCTAGTATGCTTGATTGCCGGAAAATTCTGTTGAAAGCTTGCAGATGGATTATAGGCGATGGATGGGATGTAGGTGCTGGTTGTGATGTGATCCTTGGATACCTTCAGTTTCTGGGGGTCCGAAAAGTATGAAAGTACAACCTGGACTTGGCCGAGTGGCAAATTTTGTCCACCACCCCTCTATGTCATGGAAAAGAGATGAATTAAGCTCTGTTTTTGATAACGATACTGTGGGACGTATAGTTGGAATTCGGCTCCCAAATCCAGGTACTGCAACTCATGATTTCCTAGTCAGAACGGTCACACCCCATGGAGAGTTTACAACTTCTTCATGCTTAAAGGTACTGGAAGCTGAAAACCCAGGAACATCTAATATGGGTGTCATTGACGGAGAGCTGTAGTGGAAACAGAAAATTATTCCTCCTCGTGTCAAAGATTTTCATTTGGAGACTGGAGAGTATTGCATGATTCATTACCCACTAAAGTCAGCCTAGCTAAAAACACCGGGTTATAAATGAGATGGAGAGCCCGCTTTGTGGCGGCAATGAGGAGAGTTTGGAACATGTTCTGATTACTTGTCCTGTTGTCTCGCCGATCTGGTTTGGTTTCACTTTAGTTATGCACATGGACTGTAATTCGAGCAAAAGTATAGCGCAAAGGTTAGCTGAGTGGTGGAAAATGGACCAAACTCAGCAAGGACAACATGTCCTTTTGAATGCTGTTGTAGTGTTGTGGTTCATATGGTGGCATCGAAACAAGAAGGTGTTTGAACATCAACCATTCAATCTCAGTCGGTTCTCATCAGAACAATAAGCCTACACCAATTCCATTCTTCAGACAAGTCGAAGTCCACCTCCCCCACTGAATGAACTGTAGTTGTCTGAAAATGTCCCAAGACAATGGATTAAACCTCCCCAGAACTGCATAAAATTTAATGTTGATGAAACTACGAGTACCGAGTCTGCGGGGGTTGGTATTGTGCTCTGTGACCACGACCACAATGGCTCTCACCTGTTTTCTAGAGCAATCTCCTTGCAGCCATGCACATCACTTGAAGCGGAAGCCTTGGTTTTCCTCTATGGACTGGAATTCGCAATGAAATTAAATCTTCATAATGTGATTATTGAAGGTGATGCTCTGGCTATAGTTCAGATTCTGTTGGTGGAAACAGTTCATCCACCGTGGAAAATCAGCTATGTAAATCGGGCTTTATCTTGTAACCGGCCACGTAATTGGTCTCTCTGCCCTGAAGTGGCCACCTCTCTTGTATCCTCTGATATTACTGGTTTGAGATAATTGAATTGATCTGCTTTTGCCTAAAAAAATGCCTTTGTATGTACAGGGGTAAGATTGTATACATCTAATCCCCCTACATCCCGCATTGGTGGAAGCCTTATGCGCTAGGCTGCCCTTTAGTTCCATTCAACCCAAACAACCTTAGGCAAGAGAATCCAAGATATGGCAGATATTACAGATTTAATTAAGACAAGTGATTTAATATGTGTGTGTATGTATACGTATGTGTATAAATAATGTACAATATGTTTTAGATATGTTATATGTATTGTTTTATATTTTTAAAATTTTTATTTATAAAAAGTATTAAAAATTACGATTTAAGATTAAAAAAGAGATTTTCTTTTTCATGAAAATAGCGGAGAAAGGCACCTATGGCTCCTTGAGATGCATAGGTCTTGAAAAGTTATCCCAAATAAAAAAAGAAAAAAATTAAATCGGACATCAAAGGCCAGTTCCCAGTCTTGTACCAATGAACGTCCGTCTACCTTGTATTACGATGTGGGAAGAAGGCGTCATGGGCGCTTTGGAAGTTTGAAAATTTGAACTTTGAAGAATGCTGATCCAAGAAGTCCGACAAGCAGGTTCTCTCTCTCTCTCTCGAATGTATGAATTATGATGATCAGATCAGCAACAGCAAGCAATGTGGTACCGCCAGGTTCTCTTTCTTCTTACCTATTTGAAGATATTTAAAAAAAAAAAAACAGATAGCATAAACATAAAAATGATGATAAGACATGGGTCTGTTAGAGGGAACCGAGCATCCGGATAGTTACCAATTTAATAGGAGACAGAAGTGGTTGTTTTATACTTTTATTGAAACTGGATAAGTTTAATAGAATTGTTACAACGACTAATTAATAATAGTTTACTGGGGTTGGAGACACGGTGTGAGTTCTGGGATGAATTTGAAGAGTGGAATGAAACACCGTCGTTTGTCATAGTAAAGAATGTCGAGTCGAGTGCAAATAGGAACATGACACTCTATCCAACAGCAATAACACCACGCCACCATGGTATGATATGTGTTATTATTTGATTCACTCGGGCGTCGCGTCAGTGGCTCATGTCTGTTCTAATCACTTTACACAAGAAGGGAAAAAGGCTTTATTTTCCAAAGAGCCAAACGCAGATTTACTCATTGGATCAGAAATGACCCAAGTCAATAATCTACGCGTTTCCTCAAAAACTTAACAAAAAAAAAAAAGTAGAGGTGTCAATTGGTAATCGAGAGCATAACTAGATTGGCATAAAAAGGAAATAAAATCCACCCCCTATCTGCTACGAAGAAAACGTGAACAGGCTAAGAAGTAGAGGGGTCAATTAGTCGAATGTGAATCCACTTACAAATGGACTGAACCTAATTCAGTCCAAATCTAATACAAACCAAATTCAATCCAATCCATTAAAATGTAAATGGACTGGATTGGATCCAATCCAAACTGAATGAAATATAAAAAATTATATAAAAAAATTACAAAAAATATATTAAAATGAAGAAGATCTGAAAATTACAAAAAACACTTCTGTAAAAATGCTTTGATAAAAGTATTTTCATAAAAGTACTTTTACAAATATATTTTTGTAAAAGTACTTCCATATAAGTGCTTTATAAAAATACTTTCGTAAAAATGCTTTCATAAGTGTTTGCAAAAATGCTTTCACAAAAGTACTTTTGTAAAAGTGCTTTTATAAAAATACTTTTGTAAGTGTTTCCGTAAAAATTATTTCATAAAATTGCTTTCGTAAAAGTGCTTTTATAAAAGTGCTTTCTTAAAATTGATTTTATAAAAGTACTTCTGTAAAAGTGCTTTTATAAAAGTACTTTCGTAAAAGTTTTTATAAAAATACTTTTGTAAAAGTGATTTCATAAAAGTGCTTTTATAAAATTGTTTATGTAAACTGCTTTTATAAAAGTACTTATGTAAAATTACTTTCGTAAAAGTATTTTTTTAAAAGTGCAAATTACTTTTATAAAAGTGCTTTTGTAAAAGTGATTTCATGACCAGTTTTGATATGTTTCAAATTGGACAAGGATTTTGCTTTATGATAGGATTTTTGGAAATTTGGTTTAGATTTGGTTCAAACGAATAAGAATATGGACCAAATTATTTTGGATTGGCCCAATCCAATAATTATAATGAGTCATCCAAATCCAATTTGACAAGGTTTGGATCAGATTGGTTCCAACTCAAAACCGGTCGATTGACACCCCTACTATGAAGTGAACACGTTAGTGGGTCCATACATCCAGTAATCGTGTAATAAACAGTTGTCATGCATTCGTGCTTACTTCTAAATGAATTTCAGTTCTCGCCTGTTGTAAAAATTTAAGTGCACTTTGACAAGTCTTTTTTAGAAGATCTTCTGACAGACTTGACAGCCAAAAATCGATGCAAGTTCTTGCATTAAGATCTTTTATTGTTTCAAGATGATTTGGCTAAGGCACATCTTTCTGTACAAAGACCAGTTGAAAAAAAAATGGCAAAAAATTCCATTTGGAGCCTCTCGAAAATAGCCTAAAATGGGCTTTCCATGTCTTTTTTGAAACTGCTGCTTTCAACAACTAGATCTTTTTCTAACCAGAAGGAAAACTCAGCAGCCTCCACAAAAAGACGAACCAAACAAGGCCCTAATTTGCAACATAGCCATACTAATTTATTACAAAATGGCAGATATCATATACCGTATTTGTACATACAATCCTATGCCTGCAATTAGAGAGGGATCTTAATTGACATCTGAAGATCTAACACCAAGGTTCAATACTTCGCCGAAGGAAGTATTGGCATATAAAGAAGTTTTCAGAAAGACATGCCTATTAAGTTCATTCAAGCCCTCATTGAATCTGTATGTGGCACCAACGGGAAAACCAAAATGGCTTATTAGTTCACAAGATACGTGACAATCCAATGCAGCTCAGAGCCTCAGATTAATGGCGTTGCCGTGGTTACCAATGGTAGATCTTTGCTCATGAGGAACCTACTCATGGATTGTGGATGCAAATGCATTTGACCTGTTTCCTTCACATGAATAAGAAGTTGCAACAGATTCAATCTGTTTCACCAACTACATAGTTACACAAAAGATGAAGTCTTAGCTCATTAATTTATTCCCCAAGCGTTCAATGGAAATATGGAATAATTTCAAACTTCAAGAGCAAAACTTGAACTATTTCCTAAATACATACAAGATGCTGGAACAAAATAACCAGACCAGTTTCTACAAAATTTGTTTAAAAGACTGGAGCATCTCAACTTGCAGCTTCACCAGAACTCAATTCATCACTTTCTTTCTTAACACTTGACATATCAGCCTTGTCCTCTACCATATGTTCCTTCTGGTACAGTTCATCCCTCAGCCTGTTGATCTCCAAATCCTTCTCTTCTAGTCTTCGTTGTAAGATAAGTACCTGAAATACAATAGCTTTTAAATTTTTTGCAACAGCAATGCTAGAGGCAGAATTTAACGTGTTTACAGGAATCGCTTGATAAAGCTACCAGACAATACCAAAACATCCCTTGTGCCATATCGTGGCATATCAATACTTTGAACCTTGCTTTGGATTTTATTCCTCTCATTCAACAGTATAATTGATTAAGCTCACCATGTGCCATCACTAAGGTCCAGAGTCCAAATCAAAGAGCCTCTCCTCTGGTTATGCAAAAATCACTTGATTGTAGGGGTGTAAATGGATCGAATTCGAATCGGATCAGACAATATCCTATACGAATCCGGTTAGAAATTTTGATTGCAATAAACCAACCAAAAGGTAACTTTGGGGTACGGAAAATCAGGGACTCTGGACGTCACCTAATGGGAAAGTGTCGTCCACTAAAATGGAACGCCATCAGGACAGTAGAAAGATCCATATTCGTATGAAAAAACTGCACCTGCCAACGAGTGAAAACCTCACTGGCAATGCTACTGCTGAATTGGTCATAATCAACTTCTGCAACATGCTTGTTAACCAAATGATGATGGAAGATATAATATATTATATAACATCACTTTACAGTATAATGATTTTTATATTAAATTTCAGCACATGATTTTTGGTCAATAGGAATTATTTATCATTCATCCATTTCAAACTGAAGCATAAAAAGTAGAAATCTGTGGTTACGAGCAGTTACCATCTCATTCGATTTCTCCATGTCATTTGTTAAACCCTCCATGTGTTTGCATAAACCTGTATGCATACAAACACAAAGCATTACCTTAAACTATAAAACAAAGCCCTGTATCTCTCTCTCTCTCCAGGACAAATTGTAAACAAATAAATACGAACACAACAAGAATAAGCACAGAGGGTTGCCGAGAATAGGACTTTTTTCGTTACGGTCTTTGTCTCAACATAAAAAATGGGGATATAACTTTATAACAGTATAATATTTCTACCCCTTTTACAGCAAAAGCTTTGTTTTCAATTCCTTATGTATCGGAAGAAAGCAAAGCTAAATCCACAGTAACACAGAAGTCTGATAAATCTTCTGAATAATTTAATATACACTTTCTCTATGTGCAGAGGCATATGAAATAAGCATCATTCATCTAAAAAGATAAAACACAAATATTATAGTGATGCAATAAAAAATGATTAACCTTCTCTACCTAAATGAAACAATCTATTCATTAAATAAATATATTCCAGAATATCCATGCAATCAAAAATCAAACTAAGAATTAAAACAGCTTCTCAAATCTCAAAAAAAAGAAAAGGAATACCTAATAACTCAACTTCTCAAGCATCAAAAGAGCCAAGTATAAAAAATTAACCCCAACAGTTTCATAGAATATTTTTATACTGTTATATTGCCCATGCCTAACCAGAAAAATTACAAAACAATTAGGATTAAACCTTAAATAAATGAGAAAATTTGAAATTCTAATTACAGTCAAATTTGTTGATCCTTCAGTTTCAAAAAATAAAAACATCAACAAAAACAGTACAAATAAAATCAAAATTCACTAGGCCGATTGAAGAATTAAAAACAGTATGATGATATTTCTGACCTTCAAATTGACTTCTGAGCCCTGCATTTTGTGACTTCTGTAAACCAAGTTTCATTGCTAATTCATGGATCTGCAAACTCAACAGTGTTACTATTTGGCATCTAAAAAAAGCAAATGAAAAAAAAAAAAAAAAACTTGTAAAATTGATGCAAGAACATTTCAAAGCTTAGCTGCATTAACTTTCAAATGCCAAATACAAATACCCTTTAACAAAGATCAAAGAAATTTTATCTATAAAAGCAATAAAAAGATAGAGAAGGTCCCTGTCTTGAAAGAGATTCAAGAGCAGGGTATACAATCAGAAATAGATTCAAGAGAAGGGTATACAATCAGAAATAGATTCAAGAGCAAGATACCCAGGCATTGGCTGCTCTGGATATCCCCAATTGAACAAGCTTTTCTAGCTTTTTTTTTTTTTGAAAGGTAAGGTACAAAATTTTATTAATAACAGATGAAAGTGTTACAACAGCTTCCCAGTGGACCCCACCGGGGAGAAAATCAGCTTACAAATCCCAAATAGAGTGAGAGCAAAGTAGCTGAAATACATGCTGGTGTTTAAACTCTGGTATAACAGAAAGCCAAGAAGCAAGCCTATTCACTGCAAGCTGTATTAGGTCTTCAGGATCTCTAACTTTGCTACAGAACACTCGATCATTTCTTTCAGATAATATAAAAAATAGAGTACATAACAAACATGAATGCATTTGATCAATACAAGTAAAACAGAGCAACCTCATAAATGAAGCAGTTTTTCCTCTGAATACCTTTCCTTCTGAAGCCAATGTTCCAATCTCTTCATTTTCCTCTTGTAGGGTCCTACATTTGGCCATTAGCATTTTCCCCATCTTGCTTTGAGGAGTAAAATTGACAGCTGCAACATTATCTTCCAACTCTTTTACTCTCTTCTCCTTCTCCTCAACCAAATTCTGGCATTATGATAGAAAAAGAAGAAAAGAACATTGTTGAGAAGAATACAAGTAAATAGTGCTCCATTCGCAAAGAATAGCATAGCTTCAATAAAATTATTTACTATCAATCCATAGATTATCAAAGATTGAAAGCAATTAGCAACCACGACTCCAAGGAAACTTCTACTAAAAAATATCGATTAATAGAAAAAAAATCCCATGTAAAGAAGTTTATCAGCCAAGAAAAAAAGGGGAAACATCAAAAAACAAGAACACAATATACAATAAAATAGATCTCACAACAAATGCTTAGAAAACAAGTGTAGGTTCTTACACAAGAAAAGAGAGGATAAAATGAATTAACAACCAAAGATGATAACAATGTTCCAACACCGTAGATCCCTCAACAGGCATCTATAACATGCTGGATTAAGCAACCAAAGACAAACTACTTACATCAACATGATCCAGAAAAAACATACACAGATTCAGAAGTTCTTTTCTTCCCACTTTTATTATTGTTATTATTATCTTATTATTAATTTAATAAATATTTTATTATTTTATTAATATTAGGGTTTGGGGGCTTTTTGTCATGCGTTCTTTACTTCTTGACAGACTCTGGCATGGGGATCCCCATTCCTTGGGGGGGGGGGGGGGATTCAAGGCACCTATTCCTGGAAACCAAACAGATCCTTAGTCCTTAGATCCCTGAATAGGCATATGAGAAGTGATGGATTAAGCAACCAAAAGACACACTTTAATCATATAGTATTTAATAGACTTGTAATTTTTCCTTGTTAATGAAATTTATCTTATTATTCATTGTCAAAGAGAAACCATTGTGTTCTACCTCCAACAGTCAAATGGAGAATACAAAACAAGTAGATTAGTTTTCACAAGCATAACGTACAGCTGCAAGGATAAGGCATACACCTTTAAACGTGTAAACTCCTCATGTATTGCTGGATCAAGTAATAACCTCCTTGCCTGTCAGAGTCAAACATACCAAAACATCAAACTAGTTGCAGAGATATTAAGAATCACATTTTTATAGATAATATAAAGCATTATATGCAGTTTTCTTTTATGAATAATAATAAATTTATTGATTCAGAAGCAAATTTAGAGTTGAGTTCATACATCATTCCAGCGAGAGGCGCGAGCTGCAGCCCCTCCTTGAATCTTACAAGTAAACTAGGAAAGAAAAACAAGAATCACAACTGAACCCAAAATAATTCTTCCCTATTTACC